CCCGATGCTATCTGGAATACTCCTCAATTGATTCCCAGAAAAATCCATGCTCTCTAACTTAGAAAGTTGCCCGATGCTATCTGGAATACTCAATTGATTCTCATAAAGATCCATGCTCTTTAACTTAGAAAGTTGCCCGATGCTATCTGGAATACTTCCATTCAATTGATTGTAAGAGAGATCCATGCTCTCTAACTTAGAAAGTTGCCCAATGCTATCTGGAATACTTCCATTCAATTGATTATAAGAGAGATGTATGCTTTTTAACTTAGAAAGTTGTCCGATGCTATCTGGAATACTCCCACTCAATTGATTGGCATAAAGATTTATGCTCTTTAACTTAGAAAGTTGTCCGATGCTATTCGGAATACTTTCATTTAATTGATTGTAAGAGAGATCTATGCTTTCTAACTTAGAAAGTTGCCAGATGCTATTTGAAATACTCCCACTTAATTGATTGCTAGCAAGAGAAAGAACTATCAAGGAAGTCATGTTTTGGAGAAATATAGGCATTGGACCTTGGAAAAGGTTATCTGAAAGATCTAAGTGTTGAATATTGCCAAGCAATGTAAAATTAAAGGGGTGGTTGTAAGATGGCAAGTGACAATTATTGAGACTACATGTTGACAAACTTAACCATGATAGTGAAGGAAGCATGCCAAGTACTTGAAACAAGTTTGATGATGTAAGGCTTAGATTTACTCCGCTCATATCAAGAAATGTCAATGAAGTCATGTTTTGGAGAAAAATAGGTATTGGACCATGAAAAGAGTTTTGTGAAATATCGAAGTGTTGAATATTTCCAAGCAGTGTAAAATTAAAGAGATGGTTGTGAGATGGTAAGTGAGAAATTTTTAGATTACAGTCTGACAGACTCAACCATGATAATGAAGAAAGCATGCTGAGTACCTGGAACAAGTTTGATGAGGCATGGCTCAGATTTACTCCACTCATATCAAGTCGTTGCAAAGAGGAAAGACGAGAAATCCACTGAATGTCACCATCAACCTTCAATCTCCCATAATAATATTGAGAAAGATCAAGAACACAAAGCCTTGTAAGATTTCCAAGTTCACTAGGAATTCTTCCTCTGAACTGTGCATAAGAGAGATTTAAGTATCTCAGCTGCTTCATCAAGCCAAAGGAGGGTGGAATAAGATTACCACTGAAATTATTGTTGCTCATGTCTAGATGTTCCAAGTATCTCAGCTTGAGCAAACTTGAAACAATCTCATCTATATCATCAATCAAGTACAATTGAGGTTGTTGATCGCCAATAGAGTACCAATAAGGTTGATCAGCTGTTGATCCCTTGAGTTGAAGTGAGACAACATACCTGCTATTTTTGTCACAGCTTACTCCTCTCCATTCACAACAGTCATTGCCTTTCCAAGAAGACAACATATGCGATGGATCATGGAAACAAAGTTTGAACTTCAAGAGGGCTTTTCTCTCCCTTTCTATACAGCTAAAGCTCGTGTTCCGACCGGAACAAAACTCTGCTGCTCCAAAGAACAATACAATAACGAGAACAAGCGTAGCACGGAAAGTTTCCCTCATAATGATGGTTTCAATATTGTATGGAAGATGAGATGTGGTATTTAATTTTGCTTGCACATTAATATATAGCCCCATGGATAGGCAAATAAAACAGCTTTCCCCGAAGTTACACTAAAGATAAAGATTCCGAGTAAGTAATTTAAAGTAGCCGATTTTTTTTATTTCGATCATGATCACTGGAGCGCGTTCGCCAAGACTTGGACGTCTTTTTGGTCCTCGTTGCTTTAAAGTCAATTTAATTGGTGCTTTCATCGTTCTTTTGCCCCACCATAATAATAATACAGCTTTTACAGGTCTTGTGCTACTGTTGTGCAACGTGCAGAGTGGAAAAGTTTGAAAAATGGCTTTCAATTCTTAGAGATAACTATGGTTCGTGGAAATTTCTTCTCTTTTTACCTATCATGGAAATTTTTGGTCATCATGATTACGGTTTAAATATTGTGTGGAAGATTAGATATTAAGATGATTTTAATTTTTTTTCTTTGATAACGGATGATTTTATTTTTATTTCTTTTGATGAACGGATGATTTTTAATTTTGGTTGCGCATTAATATTATAATGGTAAATCTTAAACTCTTGAACTTACCCTATTCTTCGACACGAGCCCCTAAACTATCTTTTTAGACTTATAAGCCCTTAACCCTTCTATTTATGCCAGAAGGAAACCCTTTGTTAACGGTTCCGCTAGTTTCCGTTCAAAAAAAAAATCTAATCACAGCGGTCAAAGAAAAGGTTGAATTGCAGTTTAGTCAATATATACACTTTCATATTTAACAAAAATTACTTTTTTCATTTTTAAGTAAATTTGCTGAAAAAAATTAAAACAAGGAATAAAAAGAACAAATAATCCTACGATATAAAATAAAAGAAATAGTTCTCAACATGGTTTCCACGTCACAATTCTCGATAAATCTGTTAATCATATTTCCAACGCCTCCCAAAATCAACTTAAAAAAAAAAAGGCTACAGTGAAATAAGTTTTGGTTATTCAACTCGTTCCTTCTAAAAAAACATAGAGATCAATATATATATATATATATATATAATTAATGGCAGCTCTTGAAGACTTAACTCAATAAATAATTTGGTAATTTTCGTATTTTTTTTTTGTTTTTTGAAATACTTTTTAATCCATTTATTATCTTTTATTTTTATTTCAATTTAGTCTATTTAATTAACTTTCTAATACAATTTCACTCCGTTTGATTAAATTAATTTTCAATTATATTTTTTATGAATTTTTACTTGTTGATATTAATTTTGAAATAAAACTAATTTTGTAAGGATAATCTGTTCTTTTTCATTGTCTAATAAACTACAACTTTTATCATATACTGCTTTAGTTTTTCCTTTTGACAATTCTCTTTTATAGCAGAAACTATAATTATTTATATGTTTTAATAGTTTACACAGTTTATCATGAATTGCTTTACTAACTAAGACTATTATATTTTAATTTTAATTTAACTTTTTTGTTATTTTTTGTTAAAACTAATAGAAATTTTATACAGTAGGCTATTCTAAAATATTTTATAAAGTTTACAAGCTATTTAGAATGAAAACTAACTTTTTAAACTAAAAATGAAATTAAACTAATAGTTAATAAGCTAACCATTAAATCTATGGGATAAATTTTCTCTAATTAAAATATTAATAAATTGTAAAAATAAATGGAATTTTAGATTTAATTATTAAATAAATGAATGGAATAATTGAGAGTTACAATTGAACTTCATTTGCACATTATCTGTATACGCAGGCAAGAAGCTAAGCATAACTTCTTTTTTTTTTTTTTTTGCCCCCCTAATTAAGAAGTCTTTAAGAACTAAAATTGATTTAAAGCATATCTAAAATTTTGTCCTTATCTAATTCATAAATAGATTTCATTTCAGCTTTAGAGGTTCTTCCTCTTACAATTAGATCAATACAAAATTATACTTGCTCGCATTAGAAAAAACAAGGATATTAATGTTGAAAATATACATCTTGACTTTTTTGCCTTTTTAATTTTTTATCTTGATTTTGGGATGAGTTGGGGAGAAATTTGGAAAATGATGTTTAGTGGATTTCTTGAAAGATGAAAACCATGGTGGCGTTTTGGAATGTCTGCTAATAGGATTGATACTTTATTTATTTATTTTTTGTTTGTTTTAAATTTTTTAGTAAAGTTTGTTTAAGTGTAGGGATTAATTTTATTTAAAATTCGAAAAGTATCGAAATCATTAACAAAGGATTAATTTGCTTATATCCCAAAGTTAAGGGGCTTGTAAGGATAAAAATAGTTTAGGGGGTTTATGTGCGAAAATGGGTTAGTTTGGCGGCTTATGTCGTAGTTTGTGAATGCAACAGCAATACTTTAGTTTTTATTTTTTATTTTTATCTTTTTATTATCCAAAAATATAAAAAAT